TTGTTTAGTAATGGATTTGGGTTTTTTTGTTTTTTTGTTTAGTAATGGATTTGGGTACTTTACTTTCAGGATCCTACATGTGACTTAATGCCAGAAATGTTCCATTCTATTTTCTAAATCCCATGTAGTAAGTCTCAGTTTAAATTTAGTTTTGCTGTGAAGTAAGATTGTTCTGGCAAATATGACCAGAGGCATTTATTTCTCTTGTGAGAAAGAACTGTAGTATATTACTACTATAATTAATTGATGTATTTATGGCTTAAAGTTATGTACATGAAAAATCCAGATGTGTCTCATAGAAAGTAGGTATTGGGAATGGATGATAGAATTGCAAAATCATGTTATCAATTGTCTGATAAAGCTGAGTCTCTTTCAATAATGTAAATACAAGCATAATGTTGGGTGTTAAGATTTTTCCTTTTGTTTCTTTCTTTTGTGGTATTTCTTCCCATGTGTTGCTAAGAGACAATAATGACCACTACTTAGACAAAAGATGTGTAAGAGGGGGAGGAGTGCAGCTGGCTGCACTATCACAGCTGAGGTGCATTCCCTTGGGAAGGACAGGGATGCTGCCAGATTTCCACGGGGCGGGGGCTCGGGGCTCGGTTTGGCTCCTCTTGTGCTCTCGCTCTCGGGATTAGAGGAGGAACAACCGGTCTGGAGTCGCTGCCCCTGCGGAGCCTTTGTGCGCTCACTGGGTCTTCTGCCGTGGGTGAGCCTCTCCTCGTTAGAGCAGCCGTTTAACCGGGACCTCATTAACACCTGAGCTGACTGGAAAGGACCGCATCGTCTGCTCGGGTGCATCGGGGAAAACCCGAGAGCCTGACGCCCTCCTCACTCCTGGAGAGCGTGTCCCCCTGGAAGCACGCTGCAGCCCGGCCCCACTTCTTCCTGCTGCTGCCTCAGGCTTTTTTGCTACACTCAGCATCCCGAGTCCACCCAACCCCTGTTTATTTGTTGCTGCCGTTGTTGCTATTGTTGGTTGGTTGTTTGTCTTGTTGTACTTACATGTATAGTAAAGCCCTGTTATTCCTTTTCGGATATCTTTGCTTGAAAGCCCCTTAATTTCCACGTTATAATAATTTGGAAGGAAGGAGGTAATTTTTCCATTTCAAGGGAAGTTCTGCCTTCCTTGACGGATCCCTGTCTTTCAAACCAAGACACTTAATAGGCGCAACTCTCACTACACTCCAGCTTTCAGTTTTTTAGAAATTGCAGCCAGAAATGAACTTACTATACAAATTAGTAAGTCACTGGACTAATGCATGACCAAGAGAGACTAGGATACAGCAGCATATTGAAAAAGAAAGTGCTTCAGCTGAACATTCAAACCTACTGCAGGCTTCAAGAAAGAGAACGTGTTGTTACAGCACATTCCGAAGTTGTAAAGTCAGGTTATGTTGGACCACTGCACTGTTCAGTCCTGGGAAGTAAGGAAAACTGATTGAACTTGCAAATAAGGCAAGAACATTATGTCAAATAAATCCTGTAGATTTTGGACTTCATCAAGTCCAAAACTTGTTATCCATTTTTTTCCCCCTGTCCCTATCCAACCCGGTACCCAATTGGATTGATTGGTGGAACACTGTATGCTAGAATGGTTTCAAATCTTGCAGCCAAGGTAGAAAGTGGGTTTTGGGCTTTTTTTAGAGGGGGGAGGGAAGTGGGGCAGTAGTTGTTGGGAAAAGCAATTAGATGTAACACTTGAAAAGCCTTGAGAAAATAACCCAAATAGCCTGTAATTCAGGAACTTGGGATCTAGAAAGTATAGAGGAGAGACATTGAAATTTTTTGTGCTGGTCCTTTGTAAACCAAGTAGGGATGCAGCTTGTGTTAGTCTTAGCTTATAATATATGGATTGCACTTTTAATGTATCCAACTGTTTTCTAAACTGTCAAAGGAAGGGCGAGTGGTTTGTGTGTTCTTAATTTCCCCCATCTCAGAAATCTGGTGCTATAGGAATGGAAGTACAACTGCAGCCTTGTGGATCTCTGCCTTCAATCAGTCAGGATGCTCAAGAATTTAAATGTCTGCTTTGCTTTCAGGTTCTTTCCCAGGCAGCAGCATGTAACTGGCCTGATGTTGGACAATTGCAGAGCAGCTCTCAGGGCCCCAAGCAGCAGCAGTAAATCTGTCAGTCATCACGTTCCAGTTGCTCTGCTTCTGGCTGACAATGGCTGTGAGCTGTTGCAGACACCGAGTGACAACACTGTTGGCTAAGCTATCCCTTTAAAAAGGCTGGAGTTTCTGCTGTAGCTGGCTTGGCTTTCCCAATTGCTGGAGGAAATTTGGTAGCAGGCCAGTGGCCTCTTCAAGTCCTCAACTAGCTTTTAAAGTGCTATGGAAGTGCTAATTTTAATAAAGTACTTTAAGAAATGAGGTCTTGGGCAGTGTAGGAAGAATCCCACGTTGGCTGATTGCATGTAGGTGATGTAATCAATTGGCTTTCTGTTGACAGTTATTAAACCAAGTAGGATTGTGCTCAAAGCACAGCTTATGCTGACTAAGCTGTAGCATTGGACCTGCATTTAGCATAGAAATGGAAACAAGATGTGGTCAGTTAGGGTTGAAGTTTCTCTCTGTTTATTCTGTATATGTTTTAATCCAGAATTATGGCCTCAGCTTGCTGATCTCCATTGTGTAATTATAATTGCTTCCACCAAAGTCTGCTTGTGCTGAAGTGATACACAAAATTTCCATGTTAGCTTTCTTAATAGCTCAGTTTGTATTGCCATTATTGGATGACCAAAGATTTCCATGTGGGGGCTTTTTTTTGGCTGAGAAAAAAAATTCTGTTGCTGGTTGCTGCTTTTGTGACATGAAGTCCCTAAAATTTTAATCTTGTAAGATTTAACTTTGGATGTGGTCATGTTGCCATTTTAAAGTTCTTAAAACAGTACTGGGTGTACTGGGATTGAGTCAACCAGTATCAGTAATTTTTCTGTCTTGCAGTGTATACTGCTGTATTTGGCATCAAGGCAGCAAAGTTTAACTGTGCAAGAAATGAGTGAATGATGCTTGATAAGAAATAAATTTCTTATTAAAACCAGATTTTATTGCTGAATAATTTTGTATAGCAGTTTTTATATGTTATAAATTTATATTTAGATAATGATTCACCCATTTGAACAAGTATTTGACTATATGTATTGTTTTGAGAAGTCAGTCTCTGTAGATGTTTGTTCCTTATCCTTTGAGTATGCATAGGAGAACTTAGTTACTACACAACTTGTAGGTTGTTAATAAGTGTTGGTCAAATCACTGTGAGGAACTCGCATGACATTTCTAATAATTTCTCCATTATGTAAGTACTCTTTCAATGAGTAGAACACTTTCCAGGAGGTTTTGCTGCCTAAATGGAGTGTTGTGAAAACTTGTAAGACTGTCTTGTGATCACCTAATGGACTAAATCAAGAATGTTCTTCCAGTGTTAAACCACATAAAGAGCAAGGGGAAATGTCATTCAGTTATTCACTTACCCAAGTTTTATCTTGAGTAAGGCTTTCTAATATGTAGAAGGGAAACATCCCAGACTTTTGGAAAGAGACAAGTTGGAAAGTGTGGAAATGGATGACATGACAGCAGAGCTCTGAGTGATGTTCTGGATCTTCTGGTCAGCAAACCTTGGCTTTGACCTGTGTAACCACATGTTCCGTAGCCAACAGCCTCAGGATGCATTCACAAAGGTGGGAGGTGTAAGAAGTAGTTCCCAGTAGGATCAGGGTTTCCAGGAGTTCTTAGTTCTTCATTAGGTGAGTTTAGACCAAGCCCTTGGGTGATGCAGGACTGTTGCTCTTAGCAGTCTTAGCCCCCTTCCACCCCCTCAGCAGCTAGCAGAGCAGTGTTTCTTCATATGGGATGGCCCCTGACCAGCTCTGCAGCTGCTGGTGCTATGAGCAGTTTGAGAAACTCAAGAGAAACCAAAGAAATTAGATTTTTGCTTGAAATTATGCTATTACTGGTGTTTAGGAGAAGCAACAGTGCGAAGGAACTAAAGGCATCTGGTGACTTAAGTGTATTCATTTAGAACTGTAACATGTAAAAGTTCTAAATCACAAGACCTTGTTTATTAATATTACTAGGGCTGTTTGTTTCCATGTACAACTCCTCTTTTTCTAATAAATACAATAATTTCTGCTCTGTGTTAATTTTAAGAAAGATGTTAATGTTTCTCTTAGACCTGTTTTTGCCATCTTTTTCCTCTGCCTGTTTTTTTTTGTTCCAATAAATATGGCAAATAATTGGTTTTCTCTCTTCACCCTGAAGCCAGGGCTAACAATCAGTAATGCATCATCATAATCTTTTAATGTTTTCAAATGTGATTCAATTAAGAAACCTGTGTTTTAGCTACAGAAGGACCCATAGCATAGTGGGAAATAGTGACGAATGTTTCATGTTCTTGGCTGGGTAACTGTGTGTTAGCTAAAGGATACTTGCACTTTTTCTAAAGCTGGCCTGTGTTAACAGTGCTTGTGTGCATCTATTTTCACATTAATGGTGATTTAATTTAAGTGAGGTACCTGTAATTACCTGCTTTCTCACCTCCAGCCTGGTCAGTATCTGTTGAATTGAAAAATTGAAGAGGAGATTTTGATACTTGATTGAATTTAAAGACGTGGCAGTTTTCTTCATAAACTATGCAAGTCATCACAGAATGATTTGGGGTTGTGGGACCTTAAAGCTCATGCAGTTCAACTCCTTGTCATTGGCAGGGGCACCTTGGACTAGACCAGGCTGCTCCAAGCCCTGTCCAACCTGGCCTTAAACACTTCCAAGGATGGGTCAGCCACAGCTTCTCTGGGAAGCCTGTACCAGGGCATCACCACTCTCACAGGGAGCAATTTCTACCCAGTGTCTCATTTATCCCTGCCTTCCTTATGCTTCCTTATTTGCTATTTTGAAATGGAAGCTGACAGTCTGAGTTTGCATTCCTGTTGCTGGTTTTGAGGTGTTTGCACATACAGGGAACGTTTTTCACAGGTATAACTTTCTCCTTGCAGGCTTCACAGAGCTCAGTGTGCAATTAAACAGACTCAGGTAACTGTTCAGAAAATTGGAAGGGAGATTGAAGAAAAGCTGAGATGTACATCTACAAGGAATGAACTGGTATGTTTGATTTATTAAAACCTTATTTTATGGGCTTGCTGAAGCATCTGACTGATGTCTTGACTGTAAGCTTTTTTTTTAACACTTGAACTTGGGATCTTTCTTTACAGCTGTCATTTTAAATGGGAACTCAGCTGAGAGCTACATAATATCATCAGTTTGAGTTGCATGAGTTACTCAAATTGATAAATCTGTTATCCTGTTTTTACCTTTATTTTGTACAATCATACTATCAAAGCATAAACATTGCACAGTGCATGATAGAGGTCTTCAGGAAAAACAAACTTTAATGATTTGTATGAAACTTGACAGGAACCTGTGGTGGATTTAGAGTGAGGTTAGTCTATTGGCTCTATCTTCTTGCACCCTGACTCCCTTTGGATGAACAGAATTCGTGCAAATGCTGTCACTCAAGTGACATACTCATTTGAAACAGAAATTATACTAGATATTACAATGGTTTTTAAAATCTGGTTTTGCTTGCTCTCCTCCCCTCCCCAGAGAAGTCTATTGACATTAGTTTCTGCTTTCTGCCCAGGAAAGCTGATCTTGGTTCAAAGATGAGTTGACAGAACAGCAGTGGTTTGTGGTGACTTCATTATGTTGGTACTCAGTGGTATGTGTCTGGTGCCTTGTAAAGGATGCATTTGCAGTGTGAAGTTAATTTATTGCAGTAAAGCAGATTCTGAGTTGAGAGTACTCAGCTAAGTTCCAAAAGTGTCAAGCTGGTTCAAGGATTTGACAAAATGGGAGCTTGTTTACCCACTGTAATTACAGGGGTTACATTGTAGAGGAAGAGGTGAGGAAGTCACCTTCTATATGGGGCAATATAAAATCTCTTGTGAGTCATTCCAACCCAGAGCTTCTTTGCTTTCTGGTATCTTGACTCTTTAACCATTACATTTTTGGTTATGGATATACTTGTCCCTCCTTGCAAAGGCTTTTAATTTTTAAATATCTGAGAGCAAAACTATATCATACAATACTAGTGTGGTTTTGGTTGGAAGGGACCTTAAAGCTCATCAAGTTCCAAACCTCTACTATAGGCAGGTGTATATCTTCCATTAGCCTAGGCTGTTCCAAGCCCTGTCCAGCCTGGTCTTGAACACTTCCAGGCATGGGGCAGCCACAGTTTCTGTGGGCAACCTGAGCCAGGGTCTCCTCAGCCTCACAGCCAAGATTTGCATTCCCAACACTACTCTCATTCATTCTAACACCACTCTGGCAGTGGGAAGCCATTTCCCCTTGTCCTGTCATTTCAGGCCCTCATCCAAACTCCCCCTTTGGCTCTCTTGGAGAACTGGGGCTCTAAGGTCTCCCTGGAGCTTTTTCTGTTCTCCAGGCTGAACACTCGCTCAGCTTTTTCTTTGTATCTTCTTACTGTCATCGTCCTGAAACTGGGAATTGAATCTAATAGTGCAGCTTGAATATCTCCAGCCATTTTCCATCTCCTGCCTTCACTTTGTATGGACTTCTTACTTCTCACCTTCCCTCTTGCTGGTGAGCCCTTTGCCAGGGAATGAATGCTGATTCTGCTGCTAGTGCTGTGCTGTCAGTTTTTATGTCCTGGTGAAGCACTGTTCTTAATTTTTGGTCTTGGCTCAAGAGAGGTGCATCCCACAGGAGGAGTAAGCACTGTGACACACAGCTGTGTTGCTTTCCTTCCAAAGCAGCAAAATTACTAGTCTTTGGGAATCTGTTTCCTGTGGTAATCTATGAACTCCATTCTTAGGCAGGTGCTAATCTTGTCCTGTTTTCTCATTCTCTCCTACCACCTTTTTATGGAACCGCTTCTGTGCAGAGAAGCTTTTTTTATTTTTTAAAAATCTCTATTACTTCCCATAGAAAAAGGAGAGTGAATGTTTACAGTTGAAGATCCTGGTGCTACGTAATGAACTGGAGCGACAGAAGAAGGCCCTTGGTCAAGAAGTAGCCTTGTTGCATAAGCAAAAAAGTACTTTGCTTGACAGAGGTAAGTGTAGAAACCTTAACCTAGTTTATGACCAGAATGAAAGTGCTGGTTTCTTTTCTATTTTCATTGTCTGGCTGTAATGTGCTTGTGTTTTTTCTTTATCTTAAATTTGCAGCCAGGTGTAATTTCTTCACTCTATGTTATACTGAGTTTTAGACACCAGTTTCTGATATGTTGTCTCTAAATAACTTCTTACTACGACACCTCTCCAAAGCAATCTTAAATCTGTGTTTAATTGACATTTTATGAGAACATCAGAAGAACTGCAGTATAGTACAGTAAACACTGCCATCATAAAGGGACTTCATGTCACAAGGGAAGTTGCTGTACCTGTGATTTGGATTCAGTTTTAAGTATTAGAAGACAAAAATCCCTCTTAATATTTTAATATGTAAGTGACAGACTCAGTCATCTTGATATCATCCTTTAGTGGGCAGATCTCCTATAGTGAAATGCTGTGTCACTGCCTCTTCAGATCTCACCAAGACCAAACTATACAAATGCTTGATTTTCTTGCAGGATTTTTTGTTTTCAGTACTTAGTTGAGTCTAAAGTAATTAGTTACTACCAAAAAGGATGGGTTTTACCATGCACTTTATTCTGGCTATGCAAGTATAGAGACCCCATAATTGGATTACTGCATGGTGCGGTTGTGAGAGGAATAGGTATTAAAGGAAGATGAAATCTGATGGGTTGTATTTGTCTGGTGAATGGTGTAATTACATGAAGAGGGGTGTTCCTCCTGCTGTCTGACATTCTCTAGTTTGGGAGCATAATATGGAAAATCGAAGGGTAAGAATAAGTGGAGAACTATTGCCAACATTTTGTCAGTATCTACTTTTAAAGTTTAGGATTACTAAGAAAATACTTACACTATTTTTCTTTTCCTGATTCCTCATGTTGCTTAGAAAATGCATTTGGGACTGAATACCAGAAACTTGAAGAGCATAATGAATCTCTATATGAATTAAGAAAGGAATGCACTGCTAAGAGGTAAAAGGACCCATGTTTGTTCTGTAACTGAAAATAAAAGATAAGCTTGAGAGCAAGCCATTGAAAATGGAACTTCTGGCACCAAATTCTTCCTCATGTTGTCCTAAAACTTATGTTAAGACATCCCTGCTACAATTCATAGATATCTAAAATGATTACCAGTGGCAAGTCTAGAGGAGAAGAAAACTAATGCTTGGTTGTATGTGTAGACTCTGATAGGAATTTCAGGTGTGTTTTAGTGTAACACAGCTTTGTAATACCTGATTCTTGTAGTCAAAATACATCTGTAATGTATGGTATGCCTGAAAACTCAAAATTAGCTTTGTGTGCTGTATTTCTTTGGGGTGGATTTACCTAGAGGTGATTAGAGGTGATAATTGGAAAGCTGCAGAAGGGATATGATGGCTTGATACCTTTATTTGGAGCTTTTGAAGAAAATAATAGTTTTGGAATCTCTTTCCCCAAAGAGAACAGTTTTTGAAGATAAATGCCCAGCAGACTATTCGATGCAAGCAGTTGCTGTCGGAGCTATCCTACATCTACCCTATTGATTTGGTATGTTTTCAACTTCCTGACAATCTGCTCAATGTGAAATGGAGTTCCTCTTTATTACACTGCAAACAAATATTATGCTTTACTTGTGACAGAATCTGCTCCTTGCTCATTCTGCTTATTTCAGCTTTTTCTTACGTTTGGTCTTTAGATTACAAACTTTACAGGGAGGGAACTTATACCAGTACCTCTTACCCAGTGTCCTCTATGAAAATAGAATAGCTATAATTTAATGGATGTTTTCCATTTTGTCTGCAATTGCATAAAGTAACCCTGACAGTAGGCTAGGTGAGTGCACAGAAACATGTTAAAATGTTGAGCTTCAAAATCTTTTATATAATGAATTAATATAAAGCTCTTCACTCTTTAAAAAGTTGCATTTATTTCTGAACTATGTAAGATGTGGATTAAAATACTGCATCAGTCACTCTAAGTTTAGTTGAATATTTAGTTTTTTTACCTTTATTATTTGTTAGCTTTGTTGTCGTGTTTTATGCAGGTTTTGGTGTTCTGGATGTTACTGTTTCATGCTCACTTTCCACTGTTGATGTTAAATTTACAGAACAACCAAAAGGATTACTTTGTTTGTGGAGTCAAGCTTCCAAATTCTGAAGACTTTCAAGGTAGCTGCATATTCTTAATGTAGTTCTTACAGTTAACACTGCTTCTAAACTTTGTAAAATTAATAAAACTGTTAGCAATAGCTTGGGGTCCGAATTTTTGATCAGAATGATATAGACTAGAAAATACCTGACAAATTATTTGTTGGTACTTCCTAGCTAAAGCAAAGGGTTCCTTTTGACTCTTAGTAAAGTACCTCTGTGTTCTAAGGCTGCATATTGAAACACTGGAACAAGTTACCTGGAGAAGCAGCGAAGCTTCCATTCTTGGGGATGCTCAGAAGCCAGCTGGGCACACAGTCCTGGGTACAACCTGCTCTGAGCCAGGGGTGAGGACTGTGCCATTCCCAGAAATGCCTTCCAAACTCAGTGACTCTGGAAAATATTGGTGTCTGACCTAGAATTCCATTTGGGCTACTTTTAGTCCATAAATCTCATTGGGGCAACAGGCATAAATCTCCATTTGGTTTGCTGTAGTTGCTGGTGAACTTGCCAAATAAATACCTTGCAAGAAAAGACTTTGAACGTGTCTGACAGTATGGAGTACTTTACAAGTGACCTTCTGTTTCAACTGTCAACCCTCATCCTATTCCAGAAGCAAATATATTGTACACCTGCCTGTATAACAGTTGTACAGGTAACTGCATGCATTCATCTACAAATCTTTGATGTGAACTGGAAATTCATTAAAATCTCCTTGAGGATTTCTTGTCCCCAGTACCTGTTCACTCTGGTTTCTTAAGCAAAAACCTCCAGCAATTTTCTGACTCTTTAAAGCCACCCCATTGTAATTAACTTGTACTAATAATATGTATATTGGGTGCTCGAATATTGGAGGAATAATATTTAAAACAAATTAATTTGTCATTAGGACAAATTTTGCTTTGTTTCCCTGATTGCACTAAATGTGGTCATGAACTCAGTTTGCTAACTCCTGAGGAATGACTGGTGTGCCATCTTCTGCCCCGTGTATCAGTTTTGTGGTATTAATTAATTGCAAAAGAATTACTAATTCTTTATCCAAGTCTTCAGAAGAATTGTATTGTGAGGAAGAAGTACTGAGCATTCAATTTAGTGAAATAGGCAATTAAATTTGAAACCCAGGTGTCTGGCATGGATCTTATCCCAGACTCAGTAGATACTATCTTTTAAAAAAAACTAGACTTCAAAAAAAAATCCCTAAAAAGCCAATTTTGCTGCAAATTTTGAACCTTTTTTACAAAATCCATTCTGACAGGGGTGTAACTTAAGTACATACATCATGACAGGCTCTAATAGAGCTCAGTATGGTTGTTGAATATCACTATAAGCTTTGTTGAAGGTCCTCTGTTTAGCTGGTTTCTTGGATGCATCGGAAGGGATGACTTTTGTGCTGTCTGTGTCTCTTAAAAGTAATTAAAAACAGAGAAAAGAGAAAGGAAAAGCCTTTATGTGGCTAAAAGATGTAGTTTCAATTGTAAGATCTATGTGTATTCCTGGCAGGTGAAGCTCTAAGGTTAAAACTTTAAATGTCAAATTGAAAATGATACTTTAAAACAATGGGTTAATCTAAGTTTTTCCAGCTATTGGCAGAGAACAGCGTTCATTTCTTGGGGTTGGTGTCTCTCCAACTGATCTCACTTGTGAATAAAGTTGAGGAGGAATGCAGCTTTCTCCTGATCCCACTCACACGTTTCATCTCCATCTAGAGAAACACATAAATCTTAATACTTCACTTTTGTCTTGTGAATTTTGTTTCACTTTTCCCATCTCTTCTTCACCCTCCCCCATCCTGGCAGTGTAACTTTGAAAGTAAAATGTGTAGAAGAACAAGCCATCACCAGTTTTCTGTGCTGCATCACAAGAGGCAAACACAACACAGTGAAATGCAAACACTTGTAAAACTGTCCAAAGTGACATCAAGCCTCCTTCTGTCCTTGAGTTCTGAATTCTGAGAGCTACAGTAATTGATTTTCTTTGAGCAATAAAGATGACTATTAGGATTCAATGGATACAATTAATGATAGACTCTTTTTGTCATTGACAGCAAAAGATGATGGAAGCATTGCTGTTGCCCTGGGCTATACTGCTCACCTAGTTTCCATGATATCCTTCTTCTTACAAGTGCCACTCAGGTATCCTATAATTCACAAGGGCTCCCGGTCTACAATCAAAGATAATATAAATGACAAGCTGACGGAAAAAGAGCGAGAGTGAGTATATTGTAAATACACTGATCTACTGTCTTCAAAACAACAAATCAACGTAAAAAAACCCCATCTTAAACAGTTTTGGGCAGTATGAGGTGATAAGGAATGTGAAGTTACTTGTTACTGCTTTCAGCAGCTGTGGAGTAGTCGTTGAGTTCCAAACTTTTTGGAATTTGGGATACAATAGAGTAACTCAGCTTTGTTATTCTGGATCTATTGGTAGATATACAGCATTGATTTGGCATCCAGTAATGCTAGAAAAACTTAAATAGTATTTTTAGTGTTTCATGAATTCTGGTTTCTATGTGGAAAAGCTTGCCTTTTATGTTTTGCTACTGGCTATAGGAATAAACTACAAATAGCAGGTGTAGTTTCACTGGGGAGCTGCTGCCAGTGCCGGAATAGTGGTTGATAAATGGGAGAAAACAAATAGCTTTGTTTTAACAGAGAGTTTTTTTAGCAATTGAAAAAGCACAGTAACCTACCACCTACTGTAAATCAACTGAATATTCAATGTAGAGCTTTTCATTTGTTCTGTAATCATTGTCTTTGAACACATAGCTACACTGTTATTGTTTTTTTCTCTAGGAAACTGTCTTGCTGACTTTAAATTCACTCTCTGAATGTCTTCTCCCGCATTTTGGATTTAGCTTACTTTCCCACTGTCTTGGCACCTGTGTGCTCTAACATGAAATTAGTGGCAATTACTGGTTAAGGTTCCCTTTGTAGCCTGAAACCACTGAACTGCCAGGAATGCAACACTGACCATTGGTGGGAAGCCAACTGCTCTGTTTGGATTCTGGGCACTGGCAAAGTTTTCCCAGACACTTTACGGACTACCAATCCCTGGAAGTTTTCAAGGCCAGGTTGGATGGGGCTTGGAGCAACCTGATCTTGTGGAAGATGTCTCTGCCCTGGCAGCTGGTTGGAATGAGATGAGCTTGAGGTCCCTTACAACTTGGGGATTCTGCAACCCTGTATGTGTGTATGGATGGCTGCAGTCATGCTTGCAGCATCAATAACTTCATTTTTCCACAACAGTTTGAAAAAGAAGCAAAGGAAATTACAGGGGAAATGAACTTGTGGAAAGTAGCTGACTCTACTGGCAGGAAGCTGTGAAAAAACAAATTCTTCTCTTTGGAAATATGCAGTCAAAGTATTACAACATTTTAACTCTAATTCCTCGTAATCCAAATAAATATGCAACAGTTTTATTATGCCTATTTGACAGAATTTGGATGCTTGAAAGTGTCTGATTTCTCTTTGAAGATTAGTGACTTTTGGCACAACAGGCAAGGAAATTTGCTTTGAGATTTAAACTTGTCTTCCTGTTGTGATACCATAAAACACAACTATATAACTATGTCTTGCAGAGTAATTTTGATACGATTTTTAATAACTTGTCCAAACACACTTCTAGGTACCTTAGTAGAACTTTGAACTGTTTTGCTTCAGTGTAGTTCTTGAAGCAGATGATCATACTCCTTCCTGTACATCACTTTGAGAAAGGTTGCAAACTAGAACAATTGTATCTTGAAAACAAATTTCTGCGTAGTAGAGTTCTTTGTGTGTGGGTGTGTAAAGGTTAATTCCATTTCCTGTTCTCTCATGAAGATTAGAAGGTTTAGTTTTTTATGCTACAGCCTTCCATACTCCTGTGACTTAATTAATACTTGATTTCACAACAGATTTCTGAAAAGGAGAGATTTTAGCTAAGTAAATGAGTCCCTGTTGGGCTATTTATCTGTGTTGTGCAAGATTTTTTCAGAATTAGCTCCTGCTGGAGGTCTTCTCTTCCCAGATATTGGAGAAACAATCCTAGCATCTCCAAGGTTTTATGTCAAATGTCTTAAATTGCAGTTTTCTTTCTAAACTAATAGATCATGTTTCTCCCTTGCTCCTAACTGCATTGAGCACAGCAGTTTAGCACAGCTAATAACATGCATTATTAGATTTCTTTATTTCAGTTACCTGTCCTTTAGCAGTTTTTCAAACTCCAACATAAATTGTTGAGTAATTGCAGTGATGTAATCCCTATGTTTGATCTTTACTATAACACATAGTGTCCTCATTATTGACTGGTTTGTATATGGCTTTTTTTTTTTTTTTCATTGCAGGGCGTTGGAGGTTAGGATTTTTCCTCTTTTTTTTCCTTTCTCGGGAAATTTTTCTCCCATTTGTTGTCTAAGAGATGGGAACAACAGTTACTTAAGAGAGACAAAAGATGTGGCCAGGGTTGGGGACTGGGCACTGTTTGCTTCTGTCTGTTAGCTGGGAGGTTTTCTCTTGGAAAATGCAGGGATACTGAGAGAACTGGCTGGGAGTTAGGGGCTGGGCTCAGCTCTCATTCTCCCTCTCAAGATCAAATTTGTGGTTTTGGTGCCAGCCTGCTGCTGCCTGGGGGATTCAGTGCTGCTGTGGAGTTTTTTGTCCTACAGTGCTTCTCCTTTCTGTGAGTGAGCTTGCAAGAAGCGCTGAACGGCCGAGAGAAGGCTGTGGTTGTGTTTCTGGTTTTTGTTTACTGTTGCTGCCATTTTGTTGTTATTTTGTTGTTCATTTGTCTTGTTATACATATATATACTAGTAAAGCCCTGTTATTCCTTTTCCCATATCTTTGCCTAAAAGCCCTGTAGTTCTGTAATTTCAAAGTTACAGTAATTTGGAGGAAAGGGGTTCATGTTTTCCATCCCAGTGAGGTTCTCACCTTCCTTGGCAGGCACTTTTCCTTTAAGCCAAGACACAGGGTTTCTCTGGGATCCTTATTAGGAATTTCTAGAAATTATTTGTTGGGGGAAATAGCTGAGGTTTTTGATCAAGAGGAAATTCATAAGTACAGGTGTTTGTTTTTAAAGTCATACTGTATAAAAATGTTACTACACTTTCAAGTTTCTTTACTGACTTTTTTAAGCCCTCCTGTTGAGCTGGTTAAATATTTTGAAAGCTTTCAGAATCTAAGTAACTTCTGGGAAATGCTTCATCTGCTTCAGATTGGTTTACTTGCATGATACAGGTAACTTCTATGAGGACCTTGAGAAATTACAATTTTTTTCTGTTACCATAACTGTTACATTGGGACTTTGAAGTAAGAGGCTGTGGTGAGAACTTAGCTTTTGTCTGGCCACAGTAATGAACTTAGAATGAAGTACAGAGTGACTACCAGTAGCATATAGTATATGGTCAGCCTTGTAATTGTAGGGATATTAATGTTTGTAATCTGCTTAATAACTGTACCTCTCTTGTATTCCAAAACCTGATTTTGGTACTACCAAAATGCTCTAAGTTTTCTCCTATGATATCTACTTTTATGACTTTTTGATTTACCATGTTAAGTCAAGAATCAGATTTTTACAAAATTTCTCATTGACTCACTTCTTCAGTGGTCCCTTTCAGCATCTCCAGAGTGCATGCAATGTATAGGAAGAAAGAATTCTCAGAAGTTCTGGAGTCTGAAAGATATCATAGCAATGAGTGCAGTTCAAGTCAGTTTGCAGAGGACACCATGTTTGGCAGGAGCGTTGACCTGCTGGAGGGGACAGGAAAACTCTGCAGAAAGATCTGGGCAGGCTACATTGAGTGGTTGGATTTGGGATGTTCTTAAAGATCTAAGAACCTTAATGATTCTGTGATTCTATGGATACGTAACTCCCAAATTAAAGCTACTTAGACAGCAATATGTTCCTCTGTCCAGTGATGAACAAGTTTGCTTACAGAATAAATCACCTAAATTCTTTGGCAGTGTTCTGGTGGAACTGAAACCCAACACTTCATCACATGCTCAACAACAGAGTGAGAATGCTAAGATGAAACTATTTCTGATATGTTCTGAGACTGTCTCTCAAGCCCTGTATTTAAGGTTTGTGTAGTCTGCTCCCAGATTTTTAATAAAGAATGACCCCCAGCTTAGGGCAAAATAAAGATTGTTGTGGCTGGAATAAGACATACATTGTAACATTCCCTGTGTTGGTGTTCCTGCTCATGTCATAGTATTTTTGAGTATAAACAGCTTGGAAATACATATATTCCTCTAAGAGGAGAAATAAGGGTTATTAAGTTTAATCATCTTTCTGGTGTGCTTTGTATATCTCAACAAGTGAAATGCACATTCAGGTGAATTATTTATGTTGAATTTTTGAGCTTTCACTCCCACTATGTCTCTCAAAGATTTTCGAGAGCTATTACTTCCGTGCTAGGTAAAACTTGGTGTTGCAATTGAGCCAGGAATGGGAACAAAAGGACTCCAGTCTTCAGGAGGTGAGAAGATCTTTAATAGAAAATCACACGTCTTTTATAACCCGACTCGCTAAGTTAAGACTTGATTGGTCTTAGAGTAACTTCTCACACTATTGGTGAACTTAGTGGTACACTCTGGAAAATTATATTTATAAACAACATGTGCAGAAAGAGAGATAATAATTGTCTTAATTCTTTCTCTGAGCTTTCTCACAGCTTCCCAGGAAAATCCTCAGAGAACTATGTCTCTGTTCAGAGGATATGTGATTACTGCAACTTGGAACTGGAAACTCTTTCAAGAAATAGTTCTACTAACATTATTTCTCTGTATTAATAGTACAGAGAAATCAAATAATACACACAATCTCATGGATGCTACACCTTCTTCCCAACAAAATGTGTTAAGGGAGGACTAGTAGGAGCAATAGGAAGAAAGTTGCTACCTCAGTGTTATAGTTCAGGTTGCAGAAAAAATGAAGGGGTAGAAAATGGTGTCAATGCCTAAAAAGGTTTTATCTTTAAAAGGTAGCAAAGGTAGCAAGAACATTGGCATTTACAAGCATAGCTGCTGTAGCATTTAAAGACATTGCAGAGTTGTCTGATCTCCAAGATGGGCTTTTTTTTTTTTGTCATATGTTTAAATATTGAACTTGTTGGTACTCAGTGTTATAAAGGCCAAAAAAATGTATAAAATTTAAAGATAAACAAATAGGACCCAGACAGTAATGGAAGAAATCTGATCTAGTCTGGTGCATTTTTTACAGGAATATTTG